CTAAAGGCTACATTATTTCAGACGTTCGGTATACGGAATAATAGGATATGAATGTATAACTTACAACACATTCAGTTGAATAATACCATGAACGATAGATTCAGTTGGGTCTCCCTTGAAAACCCAGTTAATAACCAATTGACTGTATTTGCCGAGGTAAGCAGTGAGTACAGTTTGGCAACGACGGGCGATAATTCCATCGAAAGGTTTAATTCGATATATATATGGATGAGTCTACTCTATCCCCAGTAACAAGTAACTACGGATGAATTAAAGGTTTTTCAAAACAGCAACCCTGTGCGCGTCTACCTGGATTTGAACTGCGTGTGTGGATTCACGCTACTGAACAACACAATGGGTTTGTTAATCAGTACCCATTCCCTTGTCGTGATCACACCTCTAGTTTCCAACTAGGAGTTCAAGTTCTGATCAAGAGAATCGGAGTATGCGCAACCTTCCGCTAAAATTCATGAGGTTACACGGTTTCTCGTTAAAGTGGACAATATAGAATAGTACACGAGACCGGGAAAATTCGACGCACCTATCAGCTTTTATATATATATATATATATATATATATGATTGCTGAGAAGGAATATGAGTCGACCATTGTTCAATCCAGCTTAAAGAAGTTACAATGCGTAGAGCAGTGTTTGCATCCGCTTCGCCTGCAGTCGACTAGTATTTACTCCACTGACAGTTTGATGAATTCCAACGCAAGAGAAAGTAGTTTTCTTTCGAATTCAATTCTTGGGTGATCAAAATTTGCGTTCCACCCTATAGATTGAGGAAAGAGCCCTAATTACTAATTGACCGGGCCACCCGTATTTTTTATACTTGCTCGTTTCTATATGAATAAGATAGAACGATTCGTAATCAGAAAGTAAGATGATTTGTGAGAAACCAAGCCAGGTAATTAATGGAAAGCCCCGAAAATTGGGCGCTAAAAAACTGTGTTAGGAAAGCTTGGAAACTTTATCATTGTTTGTGATGGATTCCTAATTACATTTACATCTAGGCGTCCGTTTATTGAGCTTAGTAAGAAGATAGGATGGAACATTCATCAACAGCCTCTTAGAGCACCCATCACGTTGGTTTTGGGTTCACAGACGTTGAAACCGGTCAGCGAAAGGGACACCCAGCGGCTGTCTAAAAGTCTGAACCCAATACTACTGTGTTTGTCCTAACGTGAGGAAGTTCGGTTTTTCGAGAGATACACTCATTTGCAAAACAATTTGATTTCCAAGGGAGACTCAACTGAATATCTCGTTTATGATATTATACAACTGATTGTACTGCACACAAACCGCCTCATGAGTCAGTTGGCACGATATTCGACAAATCGCAGTATATTTTCATAAAGGAAACTACTCACGCAAATCAAATTGGTTTTCCCGGGGACTGTGCCTACCTGATGAGCCCCAAGAACGGCGAAACCGGTCGTTTGCTGTCGAAGAGTTTTCAGCAACCTTGTGAGTAGGTTCCTTTATGAAGTTCGGTTTTTCTTTAACTAACCGTTCAATACTGTCAAATAATCCGTTATTTAGATTGATAAGTCGTTGCAAACGAGTACTTCTCGACATTCCCTTGTTCGGTCGTCTGTAAGCTCGGTACGACTCCGAGCAGTGGAGTGATTTCAGATGAGATTGAATGAATTTCACTCGCCAGGTCATCGAAATGTGTTCTGATTATCTCGTTCCCTTTGCTGCATTCTCTTCTGTTGCTTGAGATGGAACACATTCTGCATTACCTAGTCGTAACAATACCTGATAGAATAAGCGTTCCACCGTCACAGTGTTGAGGACGGGACCTATCATACCTAGCCCATTTGCAATACTGAGGTCAATACTATAATTTTACTATGTAATTTTGACCGCGAAAGTAACTAAGTTTAGAAGAATTTCCCTTACCAGAGTGCCGGATCTACACAGAAGTGCTTTTCAAGGTAACCACTCAACAGTGGTCTTTCTAGCGAAGGGTAGGTCACAGCTTCTGAACACCAGAGGGTTTGTTTTGTGGCAAATTCGGAATGGAAATAATGATGTGCTAGAAAATCGGTTAGTGGGGAATTTTCTCTGGTCCACATTGCATAATAACACCCCTTTTTAAGGGTTACACAAACATCGAAACCCACGCTTCAGTAGGAAAAACAAATTTGGAATAGACAGTTTTGAGTTCCTATTGCACTGTTTTGTGAATAAGTGTTCACCCACTTTCTTCTAGTTTGCATTTTAACAGAGAGGATTATGGGCACAGTGGCGAGTTTTGGGCCCTGCCCATCAAAAAAAGGGACCCGACGAAAAAAGACCAGTGGACGGATACATGAGGCACACAGCGCCCCAGGTAAGAAATGCGTAATGTAGGAGGTGTAAATTTTACTATTTGAGATAAGAAAGGTTTTTTTCAAAACAAACCAAGGCGGAAAAACGGAGAAAGGAGCTTATTCCGTTTTTTCTGTGGGCCACACTTAAACTGAATTGGATTGTGACTCCAGCATTATCCTTCAAATACTCAGCTTGGCCTAGTGTAACCGTGATACTTCTGATGGGGAGGTACGCGAGTAGAATGTATTGTTCGTGGAATTTTGCTCTGCGTCTTTTGAAAAGAAGAGATCTGTTGCGGAATTCGTGGAGCCACTTTGTAACATTTGCTTGGATTTGAGCGAGGAATGATTGGAGTCAAGGAATCTCCAGGAAAGTTCAAGAAGACGTGTTCAGGAGAAGATGGGTGTCCAGTTTTTGCAAATAAGATGCAAATGAGAGTCTTGCTTCACTGTCCAATGGTCTGTAACCGGTCAGTTGGTATTTCCTAATAAGTAACTCCGCAGAGGAGGCCTTCTTCCTTTCACTAGTATAAAATAATTACAGTTGTGACCTAACATACGACTGATGCCTAGGGAAACAACTGCAATAACGATCAATAATTCTGTCAGCATACTTGCCCTCAAGGATCGTTCATTTATTCGCTAGAATCTATGGAAACAGAAGCAATACTTCCACACTGGGAGTTTCTTCCATCATTTGAAATGACTGAATTTTGTGCAGTGTTGAACTTCATCGTGTATGCAAACTTACATTAAGTTTAGATTCGTTGCCAAGAAATTTTACGTAAACAGGCAGAAAGTGACACTAAACGTAGATCAAAACATGCCAATGTTAACAAGATATTTTTCGGTTGCTTTCTAGAGCTTACGCAAACACAAGGTGCTGAAGCAACGCCGGACGCTGTTTCGCTGAATGGTAAGTATACCACAGGGATTTGGTCGAAAAATGATCAAGGCCTGGTCACTCAATAGAGACTGCATTGCAGTGTCCACTTTTAATCTCCAAAAGTCTATCCCAGATGAATTAACATCTTAAAATCAAGGCTCATATAAAAAGTAATTTTGCAACCAGGAAAAATTAAACCTTTTCCAGTTCGGTTTCTTTGTACAAATGTTACAGAGTATTATTTGCCTGTTTATTCAGGGTATGTAACAATGTTTCACATAAAGACGGATATCAAAGTTGGGAAGCTATAAAACGCTACCTTTGATGAGTGTATCGCTTCTTGGAAGAATTGTCCCTTACAAATCAACTCTGGTTCTGGTAGCTCACCATCAGCCGTCCGAAAGCGAATGATGTAGTACATCTTGAAAAGGAAAGTTGAAGTACGACGCACCGTGAGGAAAAAGTTACTGGTTTGAGGTTGAATCGATTTCTTGGTGATCGGACCTACACTGGCATATTTAAACGATTTGGTCGCTTGTTGAAGCCAAATAAGGTGAAATTTAGCGGTGGTTAAATGCATCAAATGTCAATCCAATATATAGAATTTCAGTGAATCAGGTAAATAATTCTCAACCCCTAATCTTGACATGAACCAAGAGTTTTTGGTAGATTAGTCGGTAGAGTGACTTTCTGATAAGTCGTATGTCAGTGGTTTGATACCTTCTCTCCGTTCCATGTTTATCTGAACAGCTTAGTGCTCAAATTTTTCGTACCCGCATAATTTACGATTTTCATTGCGGCTATTTAACCTGTTTTATTTGCAATTCCGGTGTCGCACTGCCGAACGTGCCAGGTAAAATAAAATGAATCTTGCCGATGGCGTAGGATGTGTTAGTAACAGCCAACCCTGATACCAGGCTGACAGTCATCAATGTTGCTATTATGCTGACAGATCAGCTCATCCAACAGATCAGTATTTATCTAGTGGCGATATTCCTTCGGGAATAAGGCAGCAAATTTGAGGAGAAAAGTGGGATCTACAGAGGTGCAAATGATGGCGAAAAGTGTTCCCGTAAAGGAAATGAAGCTTTCCTGAGGTATTTTTGGAAAATTAATGAAAATGCAACCTAAATCAGCCTGAAGTCTTGATTGGGTAATTGTATATTTAATCAAAGGTAATGGTTTACGGGTGACTACAGGCTTGCCCAATGCGTAGAACAGCGTGCCCTGAATAACAGAACAATTATTACCAATTGAAACATTAGGCGGCCTATATGCAGCACATTCAGTTGAAGAACATCATAAACGAGAGATTCACTTGAGTCCAATTTGGGTTCAAGTAGAGCATAAGTTTGACGGAAACATAGGGACGGCGCCTCCCTAATGAACCCCAAGATGGGCAAAATCGGTCGTGTGCTGTCGAATTGTCTTCAGCAACCTTGTGAGTAGTTTCCTTCATGAAAAGAACGACCAATGGTTGCACAGATCCAGCATGTATGAATTACCAATGAAACGATGAACCTCCGCACATACTCCATATGCCCGTGTATCCAACACAGATTCAGAATATTTTGCAATGTTTAATTTGAGCTAGAGCAACGGTCAGTAGTTTGTCTGTACCGGTATACCGATGTCCTGTATGTATATTCTATAAAATGTGAAACTCAATCTCCCACTACCGCAAGGGCTATGAGCAATCCGGCACTCGCGGACTTCAAGGGTGATCAGAACCCAACGTTCCTTAATATCAAGAAGCTGAAAGCAGATCTACCGTTACAGCAAACCACCTTTTATGTCTTTTTGTGACCTGAAACTTTCGGTTATCGGTACATGACACCTTTATATTCTTCCAGCTGTATTTCTTTTCCAGAACATTACCATCAGTAGTGAAGAAGAGGGCTAATTTTGTCCAAAACTTGATTTCAGATGTGAACAACCCACCGGAGCAGAGGAAAAACAAACGAGCCGCGGTGCTTCTAAATAATTTTCATGAGGAATATCAAATACTTGCAGATGAAATGCCAAATATTGTTTACGCTCGAGTTGTGCCAAATCTGCCAGAACACCCAATGATACAGGTGAGTGTGAAAGTCACTTTGGAATTTCGTTCAAGTGTGACAATTTAAGCACAAACACTGAATTTAAGGTTGTTGGCCGGAAACTCAAACGGGTGTAAATCGGTGATTAAGGAACTAGGTTTTAAGTTGGGGAGTTTGAACGGTAGGTTGTGCTGCGAAAGATGGTAGGAGTTTCCATAAAGGAAACTACTCACAAGGTCGCTGAAAACAGTTTGACAGCCCAAAGCTTATTCTACCAGGTATTGTTACGACTAGGTAATACAGAATGTGTGAAATCACTCCACTGCTCGGAGTCGTACCGAGCTTACAGACGACCGAACAAGGGAATGTCGAGAAGTACTCGTTTGCAACGACTTATCAATCTAAATAACGGATTATTTGACAGTATTGAACGGTTAGTTAAAGAAAAACCGAACTTCATAAAGGAACCTACTCACAAGGTTGCTGAAAACTCTTCGACAGCAAACGACCGGTTTCGCCGTTCTTGGGGCTCATCAGGTAGGCGCAGTCCCCGGGAAAACCAATTTGATTTGCAAATGAGTGTATTTCTCGAAAACAGTCCAATTTGGTTTCCAGTAGATCATAAGGTTGACGGATAGTCGGGGACTGCGCCTACCTGATGAGCTCGAAACAGAAGGGCTAAACCGGTCGTTGGCTTTCGAACAGTTTTCAGCAATCTTGTGAGTAGTTTCCTTTATGAAAATATACTGCGATTTGTCGAATATCGTGCCAACTGACTCATGAGGCGGTTTGTGTGCAGTACAATCAGTTGTATAATATCATAAACGAGATGTTCAGTTGAGTCTCCCTTGGAAACCAAATTGATTTGCAAATGAATGTATTTCTCGAGAACTCGGTAGGAGTTTATTTTGCCAGCATTATTCCATAGTTCCACGCACAAAGTGTTACTGCTTTCTCATGAACATCACGATAATAAGGTGGAAGCAGAAATCTGGCCTATAAAGTCACCTTACCCAAGTATGTGTATTTTTTCAATGATTGAATTTCGAGCGGTGTCGGGTTCATTGTACTGTACGACCTACAACAGCTGTAAGTCAAATCAAAACAAAGTGAATTGAAATCTTCTATTCGGACTTGGTCATGTTTTCTCATTTCGCATGGACAGGGCGTGATTTGGAAGCTGCATCAATGCTTTTGGTGGACTAAATGAGGTTTCGATTGAATTAAGTGTAAATTGTGTCTTCCGTCACGAAGAGACTGAACTTTGCCGTGGTGTGACGTTTTGTGTAACACTCATTGAGCTATAGTGGCGGTGTCCCGCAGAGTCCCACAGAGTCTCTTATACCAGGTTAGACTCCTGATAAACAGTCTTCTGGCTCTGCAGGTTGGGGGTTGGAACATGTGGCGACTTGTTCCGTATAAATGGTAACGCATTTGCATTGCCCGCCAAATACCGCTTCCTTACGGTTAGGCATTTGAGCCAAAGGCTTTGGTTGAGGACCCCAATCGTCTTCCTGTCTAGGTTTGGGTGCCCTGACAGTATCCCAACCCTCGTACAACCATGACATACACAACTGGCAATGGTCTCATGCCACATCGACCATCGCTGACGCCTTTCTCCTTTTTTCTTCATACTTTTTCTTCCCTCACTCCCCACCCCATTAATTGTACGGCAGGCAAGCATCGGTGGTAAAAACACTGGTTCCACACTGTCGATGATGATGACTTTGTGTCTTGTGTCTCACGTGAAAAAGAATAGATAAATAGGTCCACCCACTTTTACCACTCTTCGCCCTGCCATTACGTCTTGTGCTACAAAACAACCTTTTTGCCCGGCCTCGTTTGTCGGTCATCGAAACAAGCCAGTGAAATGAAGACACTGATCTACACATATAACCTTAATTGGAACAGCATGCATTCAGCATCTATTCCGGATGTTCAGAGAGCCAAAGTTTACTCACGGTAATCTCTGAGAAATACGAAATTATTCGGGCGAATCTTACTCACAGATAATCAATGATCCGAAGTAATCTTAGGTACCAAGATTGTTAGCCTGGTACGTGAGGCAGCATTGAGAGCTCGGTTGTATGTTTTTACTACTGTCAATTTGGTCGGGCTTGCACCTGGTTCAATGCATGAGTTCAATATAACTTGACCTTATGATAATTCCCCCATTCATTCGTTTACTCCGCCTATGTACTTTTGATCTCCAGTTGTTTTGCTTATTCGTACCCACCACTCACCTTGCCGCAGAGGCCGACCTTCCCGCACTTGTGTATTGACATGTGTGTCTGTGTGTGTGAATGTGCGCTGCTGACCTACCTACCCACGTGAGTTCGTGTCCCGTTTGCTGATCCTGCCTTGACTCGTGAGAGTTTTCTCAAGTGTGATCGCACGTCCAATGAGAATCACAAGATCGTCATCTGAAGGGACGACCGCAACCCACGCTACTAAGCCATCATTCCTCTCGCCGTTGTTTGGTGTGCGGACGTTGACACTGCACTGTGCTGTTCAGTGACAAACCTGTGAGCTTGTTGACGCTACGACCGTGAATAATTGAGGTTTGTTGTGGACATTTGCTTACCCTTGTGTAAATAGTACTGTGGAATTACGAACCCAATTCTTCCTTTTGATATTCGGGATTGTCGACCCTATGCACCTAAATGTTCTCTACTTGAATTGAAAACAAGTGTTTTCCGTGTCTTCAAAAATTTTTCCTTTTCTTGAAATTTTAGGGTCGCTATTGTTTCGTGCGTGACACGGAAAGTGAACAGGATCATCTCAGTTCGGGTGGTGACCACCAGACACTGGCCAGCGTCTACATGGATCACTCAAAGACCAATTTACCCATAGTTGGAATTTCACAGACATCAGTGAAGAAATTGCGTCAAGTTGTGCGCAGCTGTGTATCGCGCTTACCCGTAGGTTCTATTCTCAACACTCAGTCATTCTGCTTTACCAGGATGCTGATTCAAACAAAACCTTTGGCGATTTCACTAGATAATTAGACTAATAATGACCAGAATGTCCAAGTAAACAGAACAAACACTACTTATAAGTGGCGGTTCACTTGATTCGGGTGAGAGAGCTAATTTGGCCGACATTGATAAGACAATAATTCAGGTTCGCTGATCACAAATGATGCAATAAGATATATACTAGCGTTTTAATATATGTCCCTGCACCGATGAGATCTGTGCAATCGCATTCCTCGGAACCTCAAAGCAGAATGTTAGTAAAGTGGAGATCATATCAACGTACTGCATACTCATAAGGTTGATGAAAATTCCTCGGCAGCTCATAACTGGCTCCGCTCTTCTGACATCTGTTTCTCTAGAACGACAGGTGGCTAGAAGAATTATCATCATGAACAGCACAACATCAGTGACCTTTTAAGCTGTTTCATTGAGCAACACACCGATCAGGAACAGATCTGATCATGAGCTCAGGTCTTTACTTGTGCTCTCCATGGAAAACAGCAGGATACGTTGTTACATTCGGTTTGTACCAGATTTATGAGTAAGGTGCTTTTGAATGTTGTGTGAGTCCATTGCCGCCAAGGTTGATGTCAAGAAACTTGGCCCGCACATCCGTCGTGGCATCGTTCATGCGGTCGAGAAAGGTGTCCTCGTTCGCGTCGGTAACAAGGGCAAAGGTGCATACGGGAGCTTCAAGGTTGCCGAGAAGCCCGCCGTTGCTAAGTTTAAGCCTGTCATGAAACCCAAAGTAGCCAAGGCCAAGAAACCTGCAGCCCCGAACCAGTTCAAGGCTGCTAAGACGCTGACCAAGCCCAAGCCCAAGATCCTAGCGAACCACCCGCCGGTAGTCGACATGGTGAAGGCCTCCATCAACGCTGCAAAGGACCGCAAAGGCACGTCACGTCCAACCACCGGGAAGTCTTCAGTCGTTTTGGCCGTCCTGAAAAGCTCGTATCTGAAAACGGGACACAGTTCACGTCGTTCCATTTCGCGGACTTCTGTCTTGCCAGTGGGATTGAACACGTTAGAGCGCCCCCATATAACCACAATCAAACGACACGGTAGAACGACTCGTGGATACTTTCAAAAGAGCTTTGCTCAAAGATGAAGAGGGAGGAACCACGGAAAACTTCCTACAGAAATTCCACATAATGTACCGCCCGACTACAAATCCCATCCCCGTTGCCGACTAGTTGTGGACCACAGTATCCTTAATGCCTTCTTCTTACAGTGAACCCCGGTCTGGATAGCCGATTGATAGACTGGTGAGCTTGGCCAAACTAGAAAAAGTCAATGAACGTGCGAACCGGCTGATCCATTGATCACTGTCGCATACAAACGGGTCAAAAAAGTGATACTAAGAATACAACCTATTTCTCAAGGACTGGTGAAGAACAACCAATGAAATCTGTCCCAAAGAAAACGGTTATATACAGTCCGGTTACGTTCGGAGCTGGTTCTCCTAATAGAAAGTCTAAAATAGATGGATATCAGTCAAAAGCGGGCCCTGAAAATAATAGCTGACGATGGTAGTGAGAGAGTTCATCATTCCACGGAAGACAAATCTGCATGTTACCCGGCTCATAGTGGTTGCACAAACGTATAGTTCACTGGGCATGGCTATGTAGCTGACGAATAACGGATATAGAACATTGTAACGTCCGACCTACTGTCAACATTCTCAAAACCGCACACGATAATTTCCAAAAAGTTTGAGAACATGAGATCTAAAACACTGCCAAACATCCGTAGATGAATTTGAAAGTTCAAAGAATTTTCAGCGACCTTATGAGTAGTGCATTGCGCCTATACGATGACCGGAATACTTTTTTGCCACCATCTGCCTCTGTGCTTTTCGGAGAAAGTTTTAAGGATAAGCCGGGTGCCATTTCTGTGGAATTTTTGTGGACGTAACATCAGCACATTACTTCAATTTAAGACTCCAGATTTAGCCATACAGGTACAAGCAGTCGTGATAACACAAAACGATAGATGAATCGAAGACTTTTTCGTTGCACTGGAATAAAACAATCGATAATTACATCTGCCATAAGCGAATGTAAATTGGTGAAGAAGGTGGAGGTGTACAGTGGGCATATTTATCATGTCAAGTTAAAAAAAATAAAGATAATTGAACACCAGCCGAGGATGTTTAGAGTAAGTTTCCCCTGACCTCTGTCTTAAACAGTTACGCGTTCTTCAGGACAACTCACTTGGGGGTGGATTAGTTTTACGTTTATTTGGTAACATTTTTCGGTGTTTTTAAACTTTTATTAAGGGCATCTTAAGACAGCTGCCAGGAAATGGAAAAAATATCGTTCCTAGCCCACTTGAAATAGCTGTTCAAAACAAAGATGCGCGTGCGAGTTGTGTTTCTGGTAGTGTGAGGAGATTCGAGAAGTTTCAATGGAAGTTTCCTCCTGAAAGTGCGACTAGGCCATGTAAAACTCGAGAAGTACTGTACAGCTTATTTGACTCTTATGGTGAATGATCAACCATGTGCACCTTCAAAAAATCTCTAGGGTGCCTCAAACCCATGACTTATCGATTAGCAGCTTGAATACAACCGTTTGGTCGCAGGTGACTTCCTGTGGATCACATACAGTAAACCGACAGTTTTGTGACAGGGTTTTGCAATGCCGCGATATCATCGTCCCTAATTTCCAACTTTTTATGAGAGAAAGACATTAAAGGGGATTGAAATTTGGGTGCCTAGATAAACAAAAAAGATATCTTGATAAATTCGGTGATGATCATCACACAGAAGCGACAAGGATAACACCTCTTGAATTCTTCAGTCGGCCACAGCAAGCAACCAGAATGTAAAGTTATGTCACCACGTACATTGGTTCCAGTTGATCACGGAAATCCATCTTTTCAGACACGCGGTTAGAGTAATGTTAATTAGAATGCATGCAAAGTCGAAACTTTTACTCCTCTTCCCAGTAGATGTGGATAATTTTGAACGTACGGAACGATCCTTGCCTGTTTTCGATCGTCGATGATGACTGGTTGCCTTACACCTTACGCGATTATCGGGCAATTCAACGAATTCTCACCGATCCACACTGTACAGGGAAGGATATGGATGAAATGGAATTCCAAGCAAGAGAAGAAGTAAGCGGCTACATCTAGACTGGAACTGTTCTTGGCATGATTTCGAATGAGGCGTTTCTCTCTTTTCTCCCATATTCTCCTGTTACTCCTTCGCATTCATCGCTTGCATTCACTTTCTATGTTTGTGACCATGCTCTTCAAAAATAAATGATAATAGTAGTAAATGTCATCGAAGCTAAGTTGATATGAGGATTACCCCATTCATCTGCTTACCCCGCCTGTGAACTTTAAATCTCCGTACCTGCCATTCACCTCGCCACAGAGGCCACCCTCTCCAACGCCGGTATATTAGCCCGTGCATGTCTGTGTGTGTGTACAGAAGTGCGTACCTGACCTACTCACCCACTGTTTGTTCGTGCCCGGTCTGTTGGGACTGCTTTGATTTGTTTTCTATCGCGATCTCCGCGTACCTGCATAGCCAATCAGAATCAGGAGACGGCTTCGGAGGGAATGACCACAGGACGCACTGGAACTAGAATGTCGCCCGCTGATGTCTAGTCTGGGGACGCTGTCACTGCGCTATGCACCTGTTGACACCACAAACATGCACAATTTCGGTTTTTGTGTGATTTTGCTCACCTCTGTGTGAATGGTACGTTGACTTTGGAACTCAATTCTTTTTTTTTCATATACCGGATCGTAAACCCTATGCGTGACTCAAAGTTCCGTATCTGGGATCTCAACAAGCAGGTCGTTTGATTTCATCCCAGCGAAAACAGATGGCAGGCCAACGGTACTCAATTATCACACTGTTAATAAACACTATTCAAGGCAGAACTCTCATGAGTCTACCGCAGCCTCGCACAGCATTCAGTATCTTTGAGCGGTATACTCATACGTCAGAAGGGCTTTAATGTTGTGACAAGATTCAAAATTGACTTTTTTAGAAGGTAACTTGCGTACTTAGTACTATATTTGCTGTCGTATTTGCATACTATTGAGACGAAATTTCATATAAGAAGTTTCCTGTTTCTCAATAAGTCATTTGGATACCAAATACATTCAATTCTCCCGTTTTCTGCCAAGGTACTACAGGATGTGAAAGCGCTTCGAGAACAGGAGTTTTTCTTCTACGACGATATCACCTTTTTTGAAAATCAGCCTAAAAAGCACCTTACCTTTCAACCGGATCATTTGCTCCTCAGCGAGGAGGTCTACGTATCCATTGCGCTGGCATCGACAAACGTGCGGTAGGTCTCATTAGGCATTTAAAAAGACCGATTCTAAACAATTTAAGATGGACAAATGGTTGGATAATTTTGATAGGGGGTGTATTGTTAGCCTTTTGTGCACAAGTAAGTGATAACTCTATCCGAGATCCAAGGTAACAAAAATGTGAAACTATAACGTAGACTAAGAGGTATCGTCTTTTGAATGGATTTGTTTGTTTATTTTGTGTTTACGAAACCAATCGATCACACTCCAGGCGATTAGGATTGGGGTTTATATACGGCGTTCATTACTAACATGCCAGTCATCATGTAGTACGATCAGCCAGAGGGCTAATCTCGCTGAATGAACCAAGAGCAGTGACAGCCAAAGGTCACTGTTACTCTGTAATGGCCTCCTCAAAGGTGTACTGATGGTTTCCTGCTTTCTTGTGAGTAAAGCATTTCATTGAAAGTTGACTGCAACCTAAACTAATGCACCCAAAAACAACACCTCCTGTTGAACCAACAATTCACTCATCTTAGTCTTGCAAATTTACATAAATTTCCGGTGTTCAAAAGTTTGTCACTAGCCCAGGAGGTTAGAGTTTCTCCCTCGATTAATTGTAGAAGATAGTTTGCATATATTTTAGCGGTAAATAAGAAAGTGTTCTTTCAGAAGAGGTCAATTTCCTTCTATATTTTGTCGTTACAAATGCCTCAACAACCTGTGTATGGATCTATATGCATGGCAATTCACCTCACAGAATTGTAGAACAGCTGTTATCAGCCACAGAGCACTCAGACACAATTAACACCTACTGATGTAGGTGTGGATACTACTGATGTGGCATGCGAGTAGCATTTGTTTTCTCGTAACTCCACCCCGATATAATGGAATATGTGATTTGTTACGGAATCTTTGGGGTTCCTTTGTAGCATTCTTTTACATTTGAGTGATAGTCAGTGGTTATCTAGGAAATTTCAGGAAGACGCATTCAAGAAGACGGATATTCAGTTATTAAAAACAAGGTGCAAATGAGAGTTCTGCTTTCCTGTCCAATAGTCTGTAAGTGATCATTAGGTGGTTTCTTGTAGACAGCTCCGCAGCGAATGGTTTCCTCCTTTCACTTCTACAACTACCTAAACAAATTACAGTTTTTCCGAATGGATGGTCTCAGCTTGGAGGTTGTCTCTGATAGGGAGGAACTACTTTTGCCAAGTTTGGAAGCCAACGTCACTGCTTGTACGGCGTTTGTTTTTTGGAAAAATAATTAAACTACTCAAAATACTGGAACCATCTCTTTACCGTCACTTTTAGCGTCCTCTGAAAAAAACCGCTGTCACCGGACAAAAGATGAAAGTACTGCATTTAGAAATTTATCCTTTATCAAATTGCGAACCAGAAAGTAATACCAGATTAAGTAAAAATCCTTTTACTCTCACCAAAACGCACTGGGGTTTGATATGCTTGTGCGCTCATCTTTCCTCCGTGAGAAAATTTGTAACGCTGGGGTAGCAGTTATGCGTAAAAGTTTATCTGTAAGGTTTGACCCAAAACAGTTAAGATGAAGCCTATGTACACCGTCCTAATTGGTTTTTCTGCAACTCTGATTTCTAATCTAACCAGCTCCCCAAAATACTATGACATCCATTTTATTCTGCTTCAACACTGTCAGGAAATTCAATTACGTTCATTTACCTCCTTGAACTTCATGAAATGGTGTTTTTTATTCTAAAATCACCCAAGTTTTTTTCGTGTCACCCTAACTTGCTTTCAAGTCTTGCCCTGCACAAAGTGTGTGAAATCTCAGAAGTTTTCGGTGGGTTGTAACGCAGCTTCCACTGTGGGCATCCGAAGAACGAGTCCCATCAAACATGAGAAGAACCATGAAAAAAAGACAGGAAATGGCTAGCGTTGTCTGGGCGAGGGTGCCGAGAGCCGATGATGAAGGGTCCTTTAGTAGCCAAGAAAGAGAATGTTCCCAACGGTCATGAGGGCTTCCCTCTGCAACAATGTTGCCTGAAGAGCTTGTTGCTATCAGTTCAGTTCACACGAGTCTACACTGTTGAAATCTAGGTAAATAAGCTAAGCACATCGTTGGTCAGCCACGGGTAGGTTGTTCAGAATGAACTGAAGACTTCAAGTACGAATACTTCTAAGCATCGGAAAACTACACATTGTTGCAGCGCACTCAACGTAAGTTCACAATGGAATATACAAATGGGCCTTCGAAACGCTTGAAAAACTGTGCAAAGTTATCTAGAGGCCAACTTTTCCCAAATAAATGAGGTCGACAACATCATGGAAGCCATTTTTGAGAGCGAACTACAAAACCATTCTCGTGAATTCCGGAAATGCACTTGTATTGTTAAGGGCGCTGTTGTGAGTTTTACTGAGTTAATCATTCTGTTGAGTATGCGAACGTTTAGTTCTTTTGATTTTTTAGCTACCTTCGTCTCAACTTTCCGAAAATGGGATTCCCGCTGGAGGAGGAAGTTGATCGCTTCGTTGGTGTTTTCAACGTAAGTGGTGAAACTGCTGCACACATGACCTTGAGTGAAATGCTCTATGTGAAGAGGAGCAGAAGTCGTTAGAATAGTGTGAAGCAGGTTTCACTGCCACTAAGTTCAAGTAAACCAGAAAGTATGGTCTACAGTCTACAGTAAGGTAACATCAACTGGGCACAGATATAGGGAAATCCTTGAGTTGATCAACGAAATGCATAAAGATGTTGAAAGTGTACTAAATCTGTTGGTTCGTGACTTAGCGGCCAACATGTAGCGGAGATCCACTCGAAGATTCATGGAATAGGTTTCGGGAACAAATAAAGAGCTATACAACCTAGGAACCAGTGTACTCTGAATGAATCAACATTAATAGTCTTAATTTGTTTCGCGTACCGTAACCATTTCAAAATGGTTTCCACCGGAACTTTAGTCTTTCAGTCTTCACCATCTGTTGTATTGTGATCGATAAGAGAAAGAGCACTCTTAGCGTGTAGTCAAATCTATCAACTGGAACTATGCATACTCCCAATGCGGTTTTAATAATGGGTGTCCATCAACGCCCTAACACATTTACTTCATTATCTTGTGTAGAAACTTGAGGCGCCGAATTTAGTTGTGCTACGTTCAAGACTGAAAATAAAATGCGTTTGAACGCAAAACGGCACAGACCAATAAACTGAAATATTAGTCAATGTGGCCGGAAAACACGTTTTATCGACTGTCGATAAATTCAGGACAACATTCTCCATACACATTCGGGAAGTTTTTTTTATCGCGCTTTGAACAAACCATAAGTAGTTTAGGGAAAAGAGCGATTTCCACGAACAGTGAGCAATTTATCTAAAGAGTCAAACGCGTGAGCACGTGATATGAATTCCATGACTGAAGGATGAGTGGCGCTATAGTTGTCCGAGCGTGAGTTATTCACGGTAATGAGCAGTCACTGTTGGCCGAAGGGCTTGTTTTTCAACTACCAAGCTAGTATTCATGGGCTCATATGTCAGTGAAGATCAGCAAAATGTTCCATTTGGGTGGGTTCTAAAACAAATGAAAGATATTCGAGGTTTATCAGGCTTATCAGCGTAAATCAAACTCACTCAGATGAGATAGTTACGACTGAAAAGTCCTCACACCTTCACATACAATTGACACTTTTGAAGTTTGTTGTTTAACTTTGATCTGTTCATGACTGGTGGCAAGCCTTGTTTATTGAGCCGCCGGGTTCAGCTGAATGTCCATTTGGTTCCCTCAGGAATCAGTTCCTTTTGAGATCTAGTTTCTAAACACATACTTTGAAATGAGTAGGCCACCTAGTTGAGAATCTACTCCAGTTTGGTATATACCATAGTATAACACGTTTTTGTTTTCAAGTAACTTGTGATGTGCTAAGCAGAAGAACGTCCTACTCGCACGCTACGTTTTCTCTTCTCCTGTGGTGAGATGCAGCATCTTTTACACACACGGCCTGCTTGTCTGTTGAGACTCAAATACTGTTAGTTACTGAGAGCTCCGAGAACGAAATCAAGCAAGTTTTGAACTCACGCCTGGAAGACAGGCCTGAACTCGTGTGCACTACAACCCCACCTCTACATTTGAAGTCCACATGAGTCATGTTCCCTTTGCGATGAGCATCAAATACATCCCACGTAAGCGTGGGATGACTTTTGTAGTTTTTCAAGTAACCGAGTTGTTCGAATAGGTTAGCATGACAAAAAACGAGGATCGGTTCTCACAGCATTCGAGTGGAAGAAACTTCAATAGTGGCAGGTTGACATGAATAGTGATGGAAAATATATGTGTTGAAAAAGCTCCCGAGACCGATTCATTGTGAAATACATGTGCCCGGCTTTTCTATAGGTTCCCAAATCTTTCTTGTTCCAACAAACGACAATGAGAGCGGCAGGGTGCGCAGCAGTTTTCGCGTTATTTTGCGCTCGTTTTCTTCTAAATGTATTTTCTTTAAGAACAAATGGACGCGCACTACTTAATTGCAATTTTCGTGATTTACCATTCGTCCTACTATGGCCGCAAAAAGTTGGGATTACGAATACTGTACGAGTTAAATTAGCTCATTTGCAACAAATACACGCATTTGCAAATCATTTTGGTTTTCACGGGAGACTCAAATCTATTCGTAATTCCTTGGTAGCGAGGAGATTTTACATGGATCTGATGAATTTGTCAGGAGTTGTGCGCTCAGGGATCTGTTTCCAGACGAAATCGATGCTCCCTCCAAAAACAGCTTCACCTCCTAAAAGGAAATGTTTCGTGCGGAGAAATTGTTGAGAAAATAGTTTGTCCGAAATCGAGGTTGGTGAAATGCCACAAGAAACAGACTGCAGGTAGCAGTAGGCATCATTTCCCTACAGGTGATGTGGCTGGTAAAATATATGCCACATTCTAACAACGATAGCAGAGTAGGTAGTCAATCGCAGAGCTCGGCAGTCTCAGTTCACTCGAGGCTGTACCCCTCAAGAATGTCCAAACCGATTATTGTTCTTGCACCGTTAGTTGTATTTTTTTAAAGTTAGATCATGAGTGCTTTAACTCTTGTTTATTGTTCGTTGACCATATCAGTAGTATACTCATAACCAAGAATTACTTGACACCAAGATGAGTTTTTACGCCCCCCATTGTGAAATTCGCCAGGAACTATGCAACAATACTTTACCTCGGAATCCATTCAACAAGACCTCGGCAGAAAATCTTAGAGAGATTACCAGGTTGTTTGGATTTCTGGTGAGTGGCCGAAAGCTGCATGATGAGACGGTCCAGCTTGGCATGACAATGGCGAACCTCGCATTACGACAGCTACACACTTTGATAGTCACTTCCGTCCCGGATTCCCCGCTTACTGGGATGTTTGATCAGAAGACCATGCCCGCAACAAAGGATACAACGGCCGGTTTCAAGTCCTCTGAACAAAATGGCTTACATTTGGGGAGATATGGCAACTTTAAAAAGCGTAGCGAATGTCAGCTGCTCACAGCCCAACATCAGAGAGTGAAGGCTGGAAAGTTTCAGTTTGTACGTCAAGTTGGACGCTACTTGCCATTTATGGTTCAAATCAAAGAAGAGGTTAGTTGGTCCCCGAGGGCCGTATCAATCCATTCACCGTAGTTCTAATCATTCAGTTTTTGATTGTAAGGAAAGAAAAGTTGCTTATATTTGTGCTCAGTTTGTACAGCCATTGCTATCAAGTATCAACAAGTCTGTCACATATTACATCACTGACATGTATGTTTTTGGGTCAGGTGACCCTATCACCTGTTACTTGATGTAATCTGATCTAACAACAAATCTACGTAACCAAGTTATTTACCTTGACACCCGAACACGGCATACCTACCGGAATTCGGTCACTGTTTGAGAGAGGCCCCACAAATGCAACGCTTTTTTCACCTCGTTTTCCAGACGAATCCGACTAGCGATGTTGCGATCCACAAATAGCAAAAATGTGAATCATCAGGTGCGGAAAGTAGTATTTTATGGCAAAAGGTTAAATTCTGATCGGCAACTCATTAAACTTGTATGCTCACATGTTTTTTTTTGTTAGTTACGTCATTTTCAAATGCACCCATCCAATTAGACCTCATCACTGGTAATTTTACCACTGTCAGGCCGATTTTGAAGTCACAAAGACCATGTGCTTATTTGGATATGTTTGGACCCAAAATTACTCGCCATCAAAATAATTTATTCTAGTTAAGGTAACTGCATGGCGGAACTGGCGGAACGGTGATACTACTGATGGGAGGCATGCGAGTAGTATGTATTGTTCGTGGAGTTTCGCTTCGCGTCTCTTGAAAAAAGAGGAGATCTGTTGCGGAATTTGTGGAGTCGCTTTATAAAATTTGCTTGGACTTGAGCAATCAATGATTGGAGTCAATGCATATTCAGGAAAGTTCAAGAAGACGCGTTCAGCAGAAGATGGGTGTCCGGTTTTTGTAAATGAGATGCAATGGAGAGTTTTGCTTCTCCGTCCAATAGTCTGTAACCGGTCAGTTGGTATTTACTAATAAATAACTCCACAACGGAGGACTTCTTCCTCTCACAGGTAGTTGGAGGAACCGTGTGGAAGCTGTGAAAGCTGTTCTTAGAAAAGAAAGTCAACGGTGATGGAATTACTGTTGAGCGTAATAGCACGACCGTCCTATCAGGATTTGTGAATAACATTTGATTTTTCAGGATGTAGCCCTTATTTGGATCAACCTTTAGTTTATCTTTATTGCTACGTGACTTACGCTGGGACTGCTTGGTCAAACAAGCTAGGTGATGATGAATGAGTGTAGTGCTTACGCAGCATGTTAAAGAGTGTTCCGAAAACTGTGGAATCCTGAGCATTGGTTTCAGACAGGTGATTGAAAAATCTATTTAGACCCCCCGAGCTCCGTAACACAAGCTATTCTCCCCAACTCAGTCGTTTGCCGTTAAAGGACATCACGTGACCCACATGTTAGCACTTTGTTTGCTGCAGACCTATGTTCACATCAATAAAATCGGGCCGACAGAACTTATGAGATATGCAATCGCTTTAAATTTAATATGACAAATAAAAAGATGTGGATTTGTGGAAGATTTGTGTATTAGATTCAATCACTTACTGTTTTAATCAAGTTCCAACACCGTGAATGTCACCGTTTATGCCTAAAGCCTGTCAGAGTGTCCAAAAACGTTCGTTAATCACGAGTAAATATGGGAATGTGCCGCAGATGCAACACTAGCGACTGAGCTAGTTTCCAATTTCAGACAGTCCAAATTTCATGCTGAAGCGCTGATAAAGGCAGGCTTAAAATGATTTGTGATTTGGTGTATCTTAAACGGAATAGTTGCGTTACGGTTGAAAAAAGACCATTCAAACTGAGAAACGTTTTGTAACTACTTTTAGTTAATTAAAACAAAGTGCAGAAGCACACCGTGACTCCCTTTACTGCGTTGTAATCATTCCTTTATGAATTCTCTACTTTAACTGAGGTGTATCGCAACCATAAGCTGTGCCGCCGTTGTACCTCTGGATGTATTCAATGCGTGACATTCTTTTCTACAGGTTGATAAGGCGATTGATGATTGTGACACTATCATAAATCTTCGAGAAGAAATTTTGGAAACACTTCTGGAATTGGAATCTATGAACTTTTCATTCGATATGGACGTGAGTTGTACACTACATTTTTTAAATTTTACTGTTTATTATTTTTTTGTTATTATTATTATTATTTCACTGGACAGGGGCATTCGCTGAGTCGTATTTGCTCACACTAAACGAACCGAATGGTTACAGTTGAAGAGGATGCCTCCATAAAGAAAGAGATGTAAACATAAGCCAAATTTGTACAAGCCGAGTTTTTTGTAGTAATCACAGAATGTGATATTACTAAAATCCCGCAGATCAGATTTAGACATGTGTTATACCTTGCAAAAGATCAGAGAAAAGTTGAAACAAACTAACTGAAATCCCACTGTTCTAGAACAGCACTTTTGAGAACGCCGTAAACTTGTAATTGAGTAAAACATTGTGTATGATCCAAATTTATATCTGTTTAAATTCCCCAAAACAGCTCCAGTGAATTTGGTAAACATCGGTAAGCACGCTTTCATCATAGAACTAATTTGCCATGCTGGATTAGCGTTACCACAACAGCCTGTACGTGGATTTTGTTATGCACTACTCATAAGGTTGCTGAAAATTTGTCGACAGCCCAGTTTCGCCCTTCTTGGGGCTCATCAGCTAGGCACATTCCCGGGTTCCCTTCAACCTTATGCTCTACTGGAAACCAAATTAAATTGCACGAGCGAATATAGAAATGAATCTGACATTTCCAGGTGAGTCTCTCGAAAAACCAAATTAGTTTGCAAACGAGTGTGTATTCACTGTACATGAATTGTTTTACAGCTGAAATGTGCTCCCGTAGGAAGCAGGCTTGAAAGGGCACAACAACCGAGGATGCCCCTTCTTTGTTTCGCTTAGGTATCTGATTCCGCACAAATAGACATTGCTATCATTCGTGCGTTAATCAAGGGACCGGCTGATCGAATCTATGTATTCATGCTACATGTTGCTAAACATTTTATTTCAACGTACGCCTACCCACTCCGTGCCTTCCAGTACATGAAATCAGGACGGGGGTGGATTTGTGTCGTACATATCAAAGTCAAGTTTCGTTGGTAGGATGACCTCCAAAATGTACCAAACTGTGATTTGACTATTCAGAACATTACCTCGCACCGGAATATTGCAAAATTCGGTTCTATGGTGTCCCGTTTTACTTTCACGTAGATATTTAAGTCAGAGAAACGGAGAGAAAAGTTTTTGTTAAACTTTTTGTGGTAGCGCTCAGAATAGGCCGATTTAAAAATAAATCTCGCGAAAACATACAGAGGAGGCATGAGCTGGGAATGGTCTCTGCTGATGGATGTGAGCTTTCCCTCTTGTGATCGGATTATATTTATGTGCGCCAAATTAAGCACACAGATTCATTACAAACTCATTTGAAGACAATACTATTGGAATACCAGTAACTCACCTTTTTCTGTCCAGCCGGGTATACTTCGTTTTACAGATGATAAAATTATTGTCGCTTATATCCCAATAAACATTTTATATCATTTAGTTGACGAAAGCAGAAAAGAACTATCCGATAGGATACGTTGCCATCATCAGAGCCAATACAGTCTGAACCTCCTGTGTCAGTCTTTTGTTCAAACCAGACTAGAATATCTGGAAGATATATGCTGCAGACATTGAAAACTAGGATGTATGGAATGACTGATTTCGCTCTATTCGCCGTCATTTTGTGAAAGCAAGACCTCTTCGTTCCACCCCGAGGGTGTTGCAAGTGCGTCGAGCCATGTTTTCCAATGCTTTTCGACATGTTTTCTAAAAAGTTAGCAACCACTTAAGCTTGTAAAGTTTGATGTTCGCGTGGCAATCGCTCACAACGGTAGTCTGCTGTTGACAAGGTTTTAGTCTTTTCTGCCAGTGTCTGTGCTACTTGACATGCTCCTTCTCTGATTGGATAGAGATTACCCCCCTTGAGGGAAAGGACAATACATTACAAAACTGTGGCTCAACCAGTGACAGTGCTGAGAAGCACTCGAATTTCAATCCGAGATTGACTCCACTGGCCGGGTTATATATATTCATGTTTAGTTTCACCGGTCGCTAACAAAAGACCGCCTCGCGGCTGCCGGTCCATCTTAGTACATCGATATCAGGGGCTTGTGAGTAACATCAAATTCAGTCTTACAAAACTGTTGGTAATTTCCCTATTTTTTGCACGCAGATTATGGCTTCAAAAGTAATCAAACTCAGGTCATCGCTCAACGAGCCGGTCAACAAGTGACCGCGTGATAAGGATTCCGCGGTTGAAGAATGAGTGTCGCTACACTTGGTCTAAATGCAAGTTCATCGCACTGTTGCTCGGATGGATTTGTCTTGACATACTAGCCTGGAGGTTATGGGTTCGAATTTTTCGAGAATTTCTTGGGATGAATGCTAATGATGGTTCCATATACGTAAGAACCAGCCGCCTGTGAGGACAGGTGGTGCAAGAACAGGGGCTGGAAACTAATGGTGTAACGGTGATGCTACTGATGGGGACATGCGAGTAGTAGGTTTTTTCTCGTAAATCCGCTTTGCGTCTCTTGAAAAGGGAGGTCTATTACGGACTTTGTGGAGTCGCTCTGTAGCTAGCACTTGAGTAACAGTCAATGAATATACAGGAAAGTTCGGGAAGACGAGTTCAAGGAGAAGATGGATATTCAGTTTTGTAAACAAGATGCATACGAGAGTTTTGCTCCCCTGTCCAATAATCTGTAAGAGTTCAGTTAGTTATTTCCTAATAAATAACTCCGCGGCGAAGGCTTTCTTCCCTTCAGTGGTAGTGTTCTCCCAGTTACCCACCAGGCTTTCCATTCAATCCAGTGATTTGTTGTCTACGAATAAGAGAAAATCCGGAGATTGTTTTTCAGCCAAATCTCAGATTATAAAAGCACCTGGGTATTGTTCTCTCTTGTTGTATGTTTTAGAAAAAGCTGGCACACATTGAGCGGCGCAATGAGTTGGTACATCAAATGGAGCGATACTATATGCTCATTTGTTTCAATGCATACCTTCGAGATCAGGTAAGTTATCGAATCAAATATCTAAACATGTAATGGTTTTAGGTACCGTTGCGATTCTCAGCCAGGTTCTCCGACTGGATGCTTCAACACCCAAAGCTGTATCAATATTTGGTTTACCTCGATGTCTCGGAATGGTACACAACAGTTGAACTTTTAAAAAGCGAGCAACGAATACTGGTAAGCCACACGATTTTCAGGGCTTTATCGGAATTCTTTGGGAATATTGCTTTTGACTAGCATTACTCAGTTTCCACTCAAAATGGGCAGGCAATTAAGTATAGGTAATTGGTTCCTTGACCAAAATGGCCGCATCTATAGATCAGAGCATCTAATTTTTAAAAGATATCCAACTACTTGAGTGAATTTAATGTTAGTTAAATGACACTCGTGACACTGGGGGGAGGCTAATTACGTATGTCCAATGATTACCTACACACAGTGACGGTCTTTCCAAAAGGGTCCGGTGTATCAGCGGAACGAAGAGCCACAGCTTCGACTGAAGGCAGCGATATTCCAGTTCCAGTGATTGTCTGTTTTATTTAAACGTCGTTGTGCGTAACGAGTTTTTATTACCAAATTTCTGGTCAATTTGTTTGAGACGGAAAGGAATGAAAACGCTTAAAATAAGATAAAGAAGAGCACGTTCAGATTTGCCAACTAATATTATTTTCCTAAAAATTCAATTCCACTCATCACAATGTGGTGAGCGAATGATAAGCGACAAAGAATAAATGTGAGCGGCATGGATAAGACATCGTGATGACGCGTTTCGTTTTAAAAAGCTACCGGTTTCTGAAATGCAAGAGTGAAGAAATTAATTGTTTCCTTTTGAATTAAATGACTGAAGTGATTGAGTGCAGCTGGTTACAAGCATCTACGGTTTCATTGTTCGTTTGTGACCGTCATTAAAATCCACGTACATCTTATACATTTGTAGTCAGGCAATAGACGATGTTGTTTTCGGTCATCAGCTGGAATGTTTTGTGCAGTTCAAAATCACTTAATTTTATTACTCAGTGATACGTTCTAGGTTAGAATGAATCAAACAACGAGGTTTACTAAGAAACTGCTCTCAGGGTATTGACCCTAACCCAGACCTATTTATTCGTTCTCGGGTTGTTAGTAGCCTGCGTCGAAGGCTGGTTAGATCTCACCGGATACGGCCTTTCGCTCTCCTCATCTGTTAAAATATATTTCGATGGATGGATGTCCTTATGATACAGGTTGTCGGAGAAAAAATTGGAAAGTATTATCACGAGTATTGGAATAGAGAATATAGGTGTTTTGCAAAGTCATCAACATGCCCCGACATGCAACAGCGTTCCTAATTTACACAATGAATAGAAATTCAATTTGAAAGTGTGTTTGGTGTATGCGTGTGGGAAAACGATAAACTTGTTTACAAGTAGGGTACAGACTGGAGCTGATCTATATGGCCGATAAGCTGCTGTGTCTTTGGTTTGTTTTGCTGGATGTGTGGATTCTGTTCAAAACGAATAGTTTACCTTACTTGCCTGCTCTTGAAGCTTTCAGACAGCTCTCTACTGATTGATGAGTTGTGTACAAAACGAACAACTGGTTTGGCAAATTTCCGCCAGCTTGTTGGCTGGCCGATATATGGCACCTCACAACCTGATGCCGCGACCATCAAACGAGTCCACCTAATGATCACCACCGCCTACTGGAATGTGGCTCTGAGCGGACGGCGCATGGAGGAAACTGTTGCGGCGCCACTGAAAAACCAACCAAACAGAGTCCCCATATCAATGCCAAATATGATATGGATTTGTTTACGTGATGGCTATGGGATTGCTCATGACGGGGAGGTGTACACCTGGCGTCTCAAAGATGACCCAGGGGAGCCAATCGTTCTCAAAGGAATTAGTGGCGCAGAGATGGAGGTAAGTCACACAGAGGGTATCGGTTAACCTGACCTCAGAATGGAATTGTGAAGCTCAGGAAATGATCACCGAAATACGAAATCTTTTCATAACCTTTCCATGGCTTTCCTTAGTGGGTGGACAGTGCTATTTTAGTGCAGTCATTTGTAAATCATCATGGGACACAGCAAAGTTCGGTTGACTCTGACGTCTTTCTAATGTATATTAAATCGAAAAGTGTGAAAGCTAAAATTCCAGACAGATGGTTATAATGACTAATTCCCCCATATTGAATAAGGTGCCAACTGAGTAAACAGCTTTACTCAGTTACCACATTTAAAGCATTCCCGAAATTGGATACAAAGACATCCATGAAATGATTTATTACTGGCCTTCTTGAAAGTCTAAATTAAGCCTGTATTCTGACGAGAAAAACAATTTACCGAGAAGTTAAATGAATTTTTACATCACTAAGTGTCAAGATATGACCAGTTCAGAGAATTAAGTCACTCCACATTACATCCTGATTGAGAAATGCCGTGCATCTTCGCTACCAGGTTTTACGACTTGATACATGGAGACACGGTGAAATAGTACTTACTCCAGCATTGCTAGATCTTCGCGATCGCACCTCCTTCTAAGTTTTCCAAGAAATCTCGCCTTGAGCTGTAGTGCAAACAGTAATGAGAGTTTATATTCGCTTAAGAATGTTCCCCAACTGATGCCATCGACTTAGACTAAATCCGGACTTACTCGCACCAGATGGCGCTCAATATGTTTAACAAGATTCGAGCCGAGTCGGACCTGGAACTCTTGGCCCTTCAACCGACATCATCTTTCTAAAAGATACAAATGCAGGTCTGATTAAGAAGAATTTTTGTAATCTTCAGTACAAGCCGCGACTTGGTATATTTTTCGTATGACTCAATTTCTGTGTAGGTAAGTCCAAACTACTGCTTTGGTCGCTTTTGAGTAAAAGCATAAACGGGTAAATCTGTCCGTATCGAAAAATATGCGACGACACGTGTTATCACAGTACCTGTCGGTTTTTGTCGGGAGTAAGTGAACTAAACTTGTGGTACCTGAAACAATTTCGGGCTTGCCGAAAAGGACCTGTGATAGTTCGGGGTTTACGCCGCTTATCCCCGCGTATCTTGTGTCAAACTTGCGGAACAGTATTCTTTCTGGATTAGCACAACTACACAAAACGTTTTGCTTGCTTTTACAGGAATTTGAAGAGAAATTTGTGGAATCCATTAAGAAGGTGAAGACACCGATTAAACTGCACGAATTCGACCTAGACAACAATAAGATCAGCGAGAAAACCCCCCTAAATGCTGAAAAGCTACGTACATCCAAACAGCTGTTCAAGGAGTCGTTTGAACAAAATGCACGGGATGATACACTGAACAATCAAGATTCCGCCATGCCGAACATTCCCGAGTCTTACTTCAGTTATGTGAAAAAGCACGCAGAATATCATCGCATCCCCATCCCAATGTATGGGTTTCCGCTGCCAGCGGTGAGAATTTCTAATTATTCGATTACTAAAGCATTTCGTAAGTCAGAATATAATGACAGCGGTCATAATATGGTCGTTTTTGACTACGAAGATGTCATTCTCGTGTGACGGTGATGCTACTGATTGGGGGCATGCGAGTAGCGTGTTTTTCGTAAATTTGCTCCGCGTCTCTTGAAGAGTGAGATCTAGAAAAATATTCACATTAAATACTTTTTTTTCTTCAATAGGTAAATATAACCTCACACCTAGGTAAATTCAAACACCATCTTTTCTAAATCAAAGAAGTTGACAAAGTGGAAGACTATTCTTCAAGAGCGCAAGCCACTCGTTGTCCGAAGAAATTTGTGTCTCGAATCGCCTCCACGTTTGAGCTGAATGGATGTAAAGAATCTCATCAGCATCCCCGGTGAATAGCTCTTTACGTCTTTCAGCAGGGCGTGCAAATGACAGTCAACACTACTGGTTTAACGGTATTACTACTGCTGGGGGCATGCGAGTAGTATGTTTTCTCGTAAATCCGCTTTGCATCTCTTGAAAAGTGAGATCTATTGCGGAACTTGTGGAGTCGCATTTGCTTGCGTTTGAGCGACAGTCAATGAATATCCAGGAAAGTTCAGGAAGACGCGTTCAAGAAAATGGATATCCAGTTTTTGATAACAAGACGCATATGAGAGTTTGCTTCCCTGTCCAATACTCTGTGATTGGTCAGTTGGCATTTTCTAATAACTCTGAAATAGATTGTGAATTAGATTTGCAACACTGTGTAGGCTTTTGCCATCTTTCCAGGATGAAACTCAGGGCCAGATACTGTTCAGAGTACACAACCTCCTTAAAAGAACGACCGTGTCGGTTATGGAGAACCAGTATAGCCAAAAGTTTCAATGGAATAGGAAGGATTTTACTGCTGACAACCAGCCCCCGCGAAAAAATGTCCATGGTCCGGGGCAAATATTATGGAGTTTTTTCACTTGCAAAAGGTGCTTGTCTACTTCGGAAATGTTCCATCGAGGTTTAGCTATTTAAAAATCTTTTCAAAACGGGTCATCGGGCTGTGTCAACGGTCGAAGCATTGTTCTTCACGAACAAGTGTGGTACATGAAGTGTCATAAATCGCCTTAAAACCTCCTTCCTTCGCACAAGTCTTGAGCATGCTTACGATCCAAAACCACTATTGTGTCCTAGTTTCATGCTTACCTGTATACACAGTTACTTATTTACCGCCCTGTAGATGAAGTCCGAGTTAGTTGCTTGCTACTGGAGCTGTCAAAAGGAAGAAGGCCTTTGCTGTGGAGTTATTTACTAGAAAACACCAGCTGAACAGTTACTGACTATTGGACAGGAAACCAAAACTCCCATATGCATCTTATTTGCAAAAACTGAATATATGTACTCTTCTTGAGCGCGTCCTCCTGAACTTTCTTGTATATTCATTGACTAAAACTCAAATTCTACAAAGCGATTCCATAAATCCCGTAATAGATCCCACTTTCCAGTAGACGCAAAGCTGAGTTAGGAGAAAACATATTACTCGAATGCCTCATCAGTAGTATCCACCGTTACACTGACGAACGTCAGTAGCGTTCGCCCCCTCAAAAGAACGTAAACTTAATTCAGCATGACGTACTGCACACATCTATGTACTTGACTTTGTAATTAAGGCGTTGTTTCTTATCGCCTCAACAGTGAAGAAAACCATCTGTTTATTTTACTCTGATCCCAGTCGAACATAGATCATTTTTACCAGTTTATGCTAAAACATAGTCCTGTGCCTTTGTGCCTGCATGTTTTTACTTCCGTCCATCTTTACTTCTTCAACTTCTGCGATCAGCATCAAAGCCGACTGGACATATTGTACGAATTCAGAGGTTCTTATATCATTACCCATCGCAGAGCCCTTAGGCTTTCCACAAAGTTTTTCGGCTTTATACGACGTCTAAGGAAGTGTTTAATTCAATAACCAGCGAGCATTTCCCCGACCACACTGGGTCGTTTTGCAGCCCAAACTTGGAGCATTTAGTGGGAAATACCCGCACAGAGTATCGATTCTCTGGTAGCTTCAAAGTGCGGATTTTTAGGCTAGATAACGCGTTTTATACAATATTAAGCGCAACCCGCAAGTGTATGGAAATCAGCCTACTATTTCAACGATCTTTCAGGTTCTTGATCACGGCGCGTGAATTTTTGACAGTGGCACGTAACCCATTACCTACAGACTATTCACGAAGATCGGTTTTTATTTTCACAAAAGTACAACATCAGAAATATCGAAAGTTAGTTTGTGATCTATCTGACTTTAACGTGTTTTGAGAAAAATATATTTGCACTTCCCTTGTGCTATTTTAAACGAATCATTCACCGCAGAATTATCTTTCCTTATCAAAAGATGTTTGACCAAATTTTGCGCATCGTGGTCAACAATGCACGAGGCCTATTCACAAGCGCTATAACCGCACAGTCTTTGGTCAACGCATCTGCTGGAATGGGCAGAAGGCACGTGACTATCAGACGGCCAAGTGCGGCCAACATCAGTCAGACTGACTGGAGCTTGCCAAACGCGAATGAGGCGAAAATCGATCGAATAGCATCGACCAACTTAATTTTTTTTTGCGAAAATGGGCGGGAACGAACAAGTTTGGCTATGACGATTGCTGGATTGGTCTACTGTCATTTGTTTGGGTTTGCATTCGGTTATCGTGTTGAGGAAGAAGAACGTGTCTCCCTACGAGGGGCCAAATATACCAAAGGAGAATTTCAGGTGAGAATGGTTCATCTCCTGACATTTTGACGCTGTGATATATGTATTTTTTAAAAATCTTTTTCAGCTACTGACTAAAATTCGTCTACAGTTTAACTGAATCTCAAATAGTATCATGCGTCTTATTCAATTTCCAACAGAGGACCCGGTGTGCGCGTTGGAGTGAGGTTCCAATTTTCATGAGTTGACTCAGAACAACCTGTAGGTCTGTCCTACCAACTGAGAAAGGCTACGACAGGTCTGCAGAACAGGCGTTATGCCATTTTAATTAACTCGACCTCGGGGACGTTCGCTACCAGCAGACACAAATACCTACCTAGGCTACAGAGTCCTAATTTCATTGCAGTTATCCAGTGCCTACGTGGACAGAACAGATAAACTCTCAAGGCCAGACCAAGGGATTACATGCTTTTTTCAATGTGCTGCTTAGATTACCGAATTGCTACTACTTCTACTACTACAGTGATCCATGGACAAAAGTCTTCTACCACCTACCGTCAAAGCGACCCTTTGCCATTCCGAATAATTTGTTTCTGAGAAAAGCGTTGAGTTGTGAAAAGAAATAAGCATCGTTATTCTTTCGCCATTAACAGCCTGAGTTGATTTTGGTCCATCAGCTACCGCATTACTATGCCTGCGAAAGTGACCCGTTTCTGCTTTTACTGTAGTTAATCGATCCGGAACTTCGCTCAAAATGGAACTTATTTAACACTTAACTAGACTTGGAGTTTGATTAGTCGACAATGAAGAAGGATGTTGGCTTCGGTATCAAGACCCACTAAGGAGTGGAAGGCAAATTAGTCATTGCACACGTGGGTTTATTCAAAGACTGCTTAACTCAGCTAACTTTCGAGTAGCTTTCGAGAAAGGAAAAACGTTAAGCTCAGTTTTGTTGTAGTTCAAAGATCTCCTCACGGTTGAAAGGACTATGTACTGTGAGTGTTAAATTAACTGCAACGATTGCACAATGGTTTACATAGGACAAACTGTTAGGGCACCGCACACCATAATTGGTGAGCATAAAAAAGGATAAACAAACCACCAAGGGATGCGAAAGAATACCAAACGCTGGTCAAAGACTCAATGATGCCGGAGAATATAGAAGTTTTAGGACGAGGACTGCGATTCCTACCACAGCGGCTGATAGCCGAGGCGGTGAAAATTACTAAGCATCAGAGCGTGAATGAGATCGAGGGTGTAAAGCTGGCGAGCGTGTGGAAAGCGGTCTTAGATAAGCCGAGTTGACTTTGTGGTTGTCAATTCACGTAGAATCATTAGCAAGAACAGGGGCGGGGGTGGAAAACTCAACCCGAGCAAAGTTCACAGAAACTCTCTTACACAACTATCGTACCACCAGCTCGTCCATAGAGACGGACAGAAAGTGCGAACGACGTTGCAGAGTGGTCATCAGGTGAACCAAACCAGTAGAACTAACACTAGGCTGGACGCAAATCCGTGTAGGCCTGACACTTGGTCACGCACTCTAACACGAAATTCCTCTGCCGAGGCCTAACAGAAATTTAGCTCGACTTAGCTGGTTGGTTATCCTTCCGCCTTAAATGTCGACCAATTTCAAATCTCAAACCTGACGAAGCTTTTATATCAAAAGCGAAACGCGGCCCAACAATACAGCTACCGATTGTTACCAAACACTTTCGAAAAAGGTATGAGCACCTATTTTCTACATAGGTTACAGTCTCGAAATGCAGGATAATCAGAATGGAGCACTGAAATGGCCTACTGGGAACAAAAGCTCTTCTCAGGTGGTTCTGGCTGTTGAACGCAAAGTAAATACTGTGTAAATGCCTCATAAAAGACTCCTTGCTCACTGCAACCAGATGAAATTTGTTTTGTGCACAAGTTAGGACAAATCGGAATTTTTCGGGGTGTATTTCCAATAATGCTGGAAGTTAGTTGGTATAATCGGTGGCTACACTTCTATATTAATCCCGCTTACTTGTCAGCCTATCTGTCAATTTGTCTGTCCTCTGGTTACCAGTTGGTTTTTAGGACCGAAAAACTTCAAAACCCTAAGATCATTATAAATAATTGTATCTAACATCCTCAAGATTGCACTCTGATGTGGTGGAGTAGATATCTTAATTTGCTTTGAAACGCCTTCAAATTATATCGGACGTTTCGGGGCACCGAATCGAGTGTACAAATGTTTTTGTTTCAATTTTCAGGTCATCCAAACTCTGATAAGACGTATTCCGAACGGAAATCAAGTGAAACGCGAAGTGGACTTTGTCCTTGACAAATGCTTTGATTCCATGTCTATGATGCATTTTCACATTCGGGAGGAAATCTACTTCACTTATGCAAAGGTAGTGTACCAGATAGTATCAATTCACACCCATGGTTACACGTGCTCTGTTATCTTGATTTTGCCGCAGCTGAGATCAATAAAACCGAACTTAGTTTCACCAGCCCATCAACATGTTGTGAAGCTTAACTGTTACCATTGTTATTATCCACAGCACTGGTCTCAAAGGGTGTCTGTCAATTTCCAAGCTGATAGGTATTCCTCATAACATTGAGATAGTACACTCTGCTGATGGATATTATCTCCGAATATGCGTCTAAAGAAAATGTTTCCTCTAAGTCATTGGAAGATGGCTCTAGTCAGGTTATTTGCCTTCTAAAAATAGCATATAATTCCCAAAACTGGCCATATTCTTTCCATTTCTATCCGATCACAGTTTAGAGATGAAAATGATCCCGCAAAGAAGGAAAAACTGAAACATCGTAGTCTTGCCTATTTGGAAGAATACTTCTTTCTGATACTATTCAACCTCTATTTACACGACTGCCAGTCCTCCCACTGGAAGAATCCGTTTGATGTTTGGATGGAAAAGGTTTGTTTCCACGTTTTCTTGTCATGGGCTTATTCTTTCTTTGATTTTCACAACTTTTCACTCCAGTCCGAGAACCCTTGTTCCATCTGGGCATCTGAGCTTGCATTATCACTCATAATCCCTCGGCGTTACCTGTGCATTTATGATGAATAAAGAATGCAGAAGCTAAAAGACAGCCTCCAGGTTTAAAGCATGGTTAAGCGCGGGTGGTCACGGGCATCGACTTTATGATGTCTGACCTTGAAGGTCAGAGTCAGGTGATCGATACCGCTACAATGTGAAGCGGTATCTGCCCATTAACCATGGACAAGACATTCACCGCCAGTTCCTAGACAGCCAATGGACTGATATGACGCGTCTCTTGTTTGAACCACGAATTATTCTCAGAAATTCGTAGGCGAATTGCGACCCGTGTTATCAGCTTATTATCATTTATTTTTGAAGAGCATGCCCCGCCATTGACAGCCAATGGACTGATATGACGCGTCTCTTGTTTGAACCACGAATTATTCTCAGAAATTCGTAGGCGAATTGCGACCCGACCCGTCAGCTTATTATCATTTATTTTTGAAGAGCATGGTCACAAACATAAAAAGTGAATGCAAGCGATGAATGCGAAAGAGTAACAGGAGAATATGGGAGAAAAGAGAGGAACGTCTCATTCGAAATCATGCCAAGGACAGTGCCAGTCTGATGAGGTGAATCCCAAAGTATGTAAAGATTTTGGTGAATGCTCTTCAAGGCGCAGTATGCGCTAGCAAAGTCAAGACTCGCACATCAGGCAAAAGTGACCGTCATACTGGGTCTGGTGTGAGATTAAATGGCAAAAATGTACCTTCAACGCCATGTGCCACGCATAAAAGTGTCATAAGTACGCAGGGAGCCCACAATGGCAAGCAAACACAAGTCACTGACTGCGACCTTAGGAAGTCCCAGTCCAATAACAGCCTTAGCGGATTGAGGAAAGCAGATCCCTCGATAAGAGATGATCATCGGTTGGTGAACCAAAAAGTCGATATCACAACC